CACACACACACACACACACTCACACACACAGACACACACACACACACACACACACACACACACACATCAACCTACCTTTACAGTCATACTTGAGTAACTGCGCACAAACCCACCCAAATACGTGTTCACAAAAACTAAGCTTTCCGATACGCTGAAAAAAGTGCGCGGACATGCTCACATACATACACCCTTTGTTTTACAGTTATACAAGCACGTCATCACGACTTCATCATCTGCTTCTTTTATCCTGGTATTGGGTGAAGGCTGCCAAGAAGCGGATCTCTACCTGTCTCTTTTCTGGGACATCTTCTCTACCTCCTGCCAGCTGTGCCCCATCTGTCCGAGATCTAGTTCCCAGTTGGATATCGGCCCTTTTCTCTTTCTCCTCTACTGGGAGCTCCATTTTGGGCTTTGTCTTGTCACATTTTGGGCAAATACAAACGCACGGCCGCACAAAAAAATAAAAACACAGATGCTCATACATGCATTCACAAAGGCAACAGAAATGTGGTTTCTTAGGAGACTGCTAAGAGTATCGTGGAAGAAAAGAAATCAAAAGAGTAGTGCTTGATGAAGCCCACGTGGGACGCTCAATGTTAAAAAATAATCAGGAAACTACAAATGCAGTTTTTGGGACACCTGAATAGACATAGGGTCTTGAACATCTAGCTCTCACTGGCAAAATATGAGGGCAAGCGAGGGTAGGCCCAGAACAGCATACTTAGGGAACCTAAACAAATGGGTAACAGGGAAAGGTCAGGGAAACGTAGCTTTTTTGAGAGCATCCGAGTAAAGAAATGAATCGCCAATGTCTGTCGCAGATCTGGCACTGGATGATGATGATAGCTTCAACACCCCATTCAACACTGCTGGATCATTGGGACCTCCAAATTCAACGCCCATCTCCAATAAGACTCAGCTAAATTGGTAGAGAGTCTTGAAAAAATCCCCAAAACAACCCATGTTCAGAACGTCCCGTTGTGTCCTTCCAGTCTGTAGTCAAGCATGATACCAACTTTGCTAACGGTGTGCTCGCTTGTATTTATTCACAGGCAGCTCGTGCAATGTTACCTTTGACCTCTGTTCCTCCCATCCATGCATGCACGCGGGGGCCTGCAACACCCTTATTGGCGGCTTTGAGTGCCTCTGCTTGCCTGGCTTTATTGGTATGTGACTTTTGGATCAGAGAATACATTTTTATTTCCCGTAACTCTTTAACCCGAAACCCCCCCTTCCCCCATAGACACACACACACACACACACACACACACACACTCACGTACACACATACACACACCTCAACCCCTTTTCGCTTCCAATAAAAGTCTTTTTCTTACTGGTATTTCATTTTTGTTCGCCCTTTTTGTCTTTAATAAAATCCTGTCTCCACCCCACCCCCTCTTCCCTTCCACCCCTAAACCACCACCCCCACCTCAACCTGCTTTTCGCTTGCAATTAATTTTTAAAATTATTTTTATTACTTGTGTTTCTACTCTGCTTGGTTATTTTTTTGGTGTTTTTTTAATTACCTAAACAACCATATTATACATCTGTGGATAAAGCATTTTCCGAGAGATGAAGCTTTGTTTTATGACAATAACATACAGATTCAGCTTGGCTGGATGCATGTGGGTTGTACATCGGACAATACCATGTGCCTATTGACTACTACAGACTTCAACATAAGTTAAGGACCACCTTGACAGACTCCCGTGATTTTAACAAATCCGGAAAAAGACAGCAAGGAATGTTTCAAAATTTTTTGCTCTGGAAGTGTTAATGGGTTACCAATGCGTACTACAAAGCTAAGAAGCAAAACCACCACGTGCAGCTCGGAAATCCTCAGGGAACTTTAGCCTCATTTGCTGTTCTTTGTCGACTTTTATGCTACACCACAGACATTTCTCAGTAAAAATTTCTGGTGCACATCATAAACGGACGTACGGTCTCGAACTGTGCTCATTTTGGTGGCATTATAAGCCGCTGTTTGCGCAAAATCCAGTATCGCATCAATATGCCACCAAGACGAAAGCTGGTAGACTTTGATGGTTCCAGGCCTGTAGCATTGCAACAGGATGGAGTTGGGACCCGAGAAGTTGCCAGAATGTTTGCAGTGTCACACTCTGTCATTGTCCGCCTAAGGCAGCGCCATCAAGCCACTGGATCAGTCCAAGAAGGCCTACGTGCAGGTTGACCCAAGAAGACCACTCCGTGTGTTTGCAAGTGGTCCTTAACTTATGTTGAAGTCTGTATATCTGCCGTAACCATGTACGTACGAGTACACCCCAGTGCTTATTATTTATTACTGAGAAACCAATTTCCCCAAGGGTTAAGGGGTGAATAAAACAAGAAGAGATAGTTGGAACGGGCGAATGAGTGAGACAGAAGAGGAAGAAAACTAATGTATTTGTATTTGTATCCTTTTGTGCCTTGTCGTGTGTGTGTGTGTGTGTGTGTGTGTGTGTGTGTGTGTGTGTGTGTGTGTGAGAGAGAGAGAGAGAGAGAGAGAGAGAGAGAGAGAGAGAGAGAGAAAGTGTGTGTATGTGTGTTTGTGTATGTGTTTATGTTACGTCGTCTGTGTGTGCTCGTGTGAGTGCACATTCGTGCGTACGTACATGGATAACAATAGTTGTAAACTGAGCCACTGTAATTATTTCGATTTTACAGGAAGCCTTTGTGAGACACAAATCAACCCGTGTGATTCGAACCCCTGTAGTGAAGGGTCTACCTGTATCAATGCCCAGCTGTCATACCTGTGCAAGTGCCCGGCCGGGCGGTCAGGTGTATCCTGTGACGAGGGTAAGAAGATACTTGTTTTTGTTTTTGTTTCTGTTTTTTGTTTGTATTTTTGTTGAAGGGTGGGGTTGGTGGGACAGTCATTGGGCATGTGTAGGCAGTATGTGCATGCAAAGATCCATAGATAATCCAATATTTTGGAAAATTGTATATGTACAGTGAAAGGGTTTAAAGTGTGAGGGAGATGAGGGTGAAAATAATCTATGTATTATGGATAACGGCCGCGAGCGAAAGAGGGGAGGTACAGTTCTTGTCTGTACTAGATTTCAGATTTGCGTTCATTCAATGAACGTAGAACGTTTGTGACGAGACATATTGTTGTTTTCTTTTGTTTCCATCCCTAAAGGATGTGAGCAGAGCAAACGTCGACTGTTAAAGAAACTAGATCTCGGCACAGATTTCGAAACATGCTAGTTAAGATGTGCCGGCAAGTTAAGGCAAGGAAGTTTTTACTTTTTTTTACAGCTTACAAAGATGTAATAGTCGTTGGTGTAGCAGTTAGGTGCTTCGCCGTCGTACGCAGGAGACCCGAGTTCGATTCCCAAGTGAGATAATGTTTTATTGAGCATTTCGGTTCTTCAGCTGGGATGTTGTACAACTCTCAGGCTGGGTAGGTCCTGGCAAGCAGAGTGGGAAGCTCACCTCCTAACTGATCTGAATTATATCGATAGGGGCATAAAAACACCTACCCGGTACATTTTAAAAGACGTAACACTAACAAAGGCCATCTAAATTTTTCCCAGAAGTGTCTCCAGACTACGACCTGGTCTTTCAGCCACGAGCACCTGATGGTCAGTTTGTGTCTTTGCCCCCTGAACTGATGCCAGATTTGACCTCTATGACGCTGTGCGCCTGGTTCCGGCCCTTACCTCTGGCAGCCTTTGCCTCTCTTGTGACCTTCAACTTGCTCCGCACGCCAAACCTGAACCCAAGTTGGAGGGAAGACGGTGGACCACGAGATTTTGACGTCACTTTCGCCATCAGGCATACCGATCAGATCATGGTCAGTTCATGTAATGGTAGAACGACAAGATCAAAATTATTAATTACAGTCATCAGCAGTGGTCACGTTCACCCCTTGCCCGAGTATAGTGTATAGGCCACGAACAAAAACTCTCCATATACTTCTGTCCTGTATCCAGCTAAATCCCATCTCGTTCAATTCTGAATCGAAGTCCCTTCTCCAAGATCAACTATAGTTATAAAATACATAGAACAAGATACTGCAGAGTGTGATAGGTGCTATTTAGCGTGGATTTAAAGTCTCTTTCAACATTGTAAGGCTATTTTTGAGCTAGCATCTCCCATTCCAACACCCATCCCCTATAGGTCTGACCCAACTACATTGTAGGAGAAGCCCAATTAACCAAAGTCCAAGAATACCCCATTAGGAATTCGAACCATGGCCATCCACACCATAGCTCAATATGATACCAACTGAGCTAACTGAACTCTTTTTCCCTGTGAATTCTCAGGTTCAGATATTTGATGAAGAGAAGATGACCAATGTTAGTTTACCTCCTTTTACCTGGTCTCACCTTTGCGCCATCTGGGATTCGGGGGAAGACGCGTGGGCAGTCTTCCTCAACGGCTCAAGTGTAGCAGCCGGTGGCCTTGACCTACCCTTGCCGCTGATCCCGGGTGATACGTCTGTTGTCTTAGGTAAATGACTAGTAAGTCTTAGGTGAGTGACAAGTGAGTTTCAGCTAAGCGACGAGTAAGTGCAGGATAAGGGACAAGGAAGTCTTAGGTAAGTGACGAGTAAGTCTCAGTAAGGAACGAGTAAGTGTTAGGTAAGTCACAAGTAAAACGTAGGAAAGTGGCAAGTAAGTCTTAGGTAAGTGACAACAAGTAAGTCTCAGGTAAGTGGCAAGTAATTCTCAGGTAAGTGACGAGTATGTCATAAGGAAGTGACAAGTAAGCTTTTGGTAAGTGAGAAGTCTGTCTAAGATAGGTGGCAAGTATGTGTTAGGTAAATGACACGTAAGTCTGAAAGCTTTTAAGACTCCCAAAACGAAATGATATAGGTACACAATTTGCAACACTTTAAGGTTATTTAGGAGGCGGGGACTCCGAATTCAACGACCTTCTCTAACAGGATCGAGCCAGATGCAAAACAAAAAAAAGAAAAGAAAAAAAAGAAAAACACGGAAAGTGTCTTTCCAAAAGACAACATAAGACCGATTTCTGAATTGTTCAATGTTCAGCAGTTTTCAATTAACTCTTCCAATAATTAGTGGATGTTAGTTGGGAGTTCTATTTCGAATGTGGTACCATTTGATTTTAGTTCATGCCATCCCCCCACAATAATTTATCAGGATACTAGCCGAGCTATCGGTATACCAATACCTCATGTGTATTTTGTAGTAGCCTACATTACCTTTGGACTAGAAACAAAACAAGCAGCAAAAAATCAAAACCAACCACAAAAAGACCCTAGCATTGCTCGTCAAGCCGTATAAGCTGGATTTCAAAAGTGCCGATGTATAAAACTAAAAGCACTTCTTAGCAAACCCGTCCCTCCCTTTTTTCCCTTTTGTGTGCAGTTCCTTTCCCTTATTTCGTTCTTTCTTATTTTTTAATTTCTCCAGGACAACGAAACCCCTACCATAGAGACCAAGCATGGGAAGTTTACGAAGGGGAGATAACTCAATTAAATGTCTATGGACGGGTGCTTACTTCCCCTGAGATCAGATCAATCGCTGGGACGTGCAGCCCTACACCAGGGGATGTGATAGCCTGGACGCAATTCTTGCCTTACATACGAGGAGACCTGGTCATCAGGGAGGGCTCACACTGTCAAGGTATGCAACGGGTGTGTGTGTGTGTGTGTGTGTGTGTGTGTGTGTGTGTAAGTGCTTGTGAGTATGGCTGTGTGTGTGTGTGTGTGTGTTCGTGCGTGTGTGTGTGTGTGTGTGTGTGTGTGTGTGTGTGTGTGTGTGTGTGTGTGTGTGTGTGTGTGTGTGTGTGTTTACATGCCTGTGTGAACGTGCACGCACTGAAGTTGAGAAAGAGGAAGAGGAAGATAACAACAACAACAACAACAGAAAATAACGATGACGACAAACAACAACAACAACAACAACAACAACAACAACAATAGGAACAACAATAAGAAACAGTGGCGTTGCGGGGCTAAAAAGTAAAGGAACAGCGTACTACCACCAAGTAGTAAAGATGAAGACAAAGAGGATGATTTTCTATATTATTTTTAAGGCAACTAAAACAATTTTAAACATTACCTGCACACAAAAAAAAAGTAAACCAGATATTAGTCAGCATTCTCACAGCTGTACATAGTATATTCTGAACTTGAACATGTTCCAAATGACCTCTTTGACATATTCCCATAATTTTTCCACCTTCAGATGTAAACGAGTGCTTCTTCCCAGAAGTGTTCCCGTGTGGTTCCCGCCAGTGCCTGGACTTACTCGGATCCTACGTCTGCTCTGAGTGTTTACAGGGATACTCTGGTCCCAACTGCGACGAACCTGAAGACGAGTGTCTCTCGGACGTTTGTGCGGAGGGTGCTACTTGCGTGGACGGTCCGGAACCACTGGACTTTCAGTGCTTCTGTCCAGCTGGATTTACAGGTAAACTACAGATCGCTAAATCAGAATTGCAAAGTTCTATCTTCTCAGTGCCTAATTTTGAAAAATTTGACGTAAAAAATGTTGAGTTTCACAATAATATTTCAAGCTTTTTCGAAGGCAGTTCTTTGAATACCTTGATATTGACTCGGAATAATCTAACGATTTTGATAGAGCAGATAGTACATTTGATTTCTGATCTTATGGTCTTAGTAACTCAAAAACGTCCAAAACGTCTGATAGAACTATATAATTCTGAGGTAGTGAGATACCATGCAGTGTCGTTGTTTCGGTTTTGTTGAGAAATCATCTGCGTCGGTAGTCAAGTGGTTAAGCTACCGGACTCGTAATCGCGAGGTTGCGGGTTCGGGGGTCCGAATCTCAAGCCCAGTGTTGTGTCTTTTTGAAAGGCACTTTACACGAATTGTCCTCACTTCACCCAGATGTGAATGGGTCGTAGACAGCGGAAGATCTTATCAGTATGTTAGTGTTCTATCGCCCATAAACAGGCAGCTTGCACCATGTGCTTTCTAGGAATTTGAGATTGTTTCAGATTGTTATCTGGTCTGCATGTGTAATACTGATAGATTGTAAAGCGCGGAGAGTTTGCTGTTGAGCGGAAATTTGCTCAATACAAATTCTATCATTACTGATCTTTCCCCGTCAACCACAATGGTATGTCTAAATAAATAGTTTACAGTTTATTTTTTAAAATTGTCGCTGCTGTAACATCTCTCACACTCAGTTGCTATCCTTCTCTCTCTCTCTCTCTCTCTCTCTCTCTCTCT